TTGATGGAAGAGCAGAGAAAACATTGGTCTGTAGGGAGCCTGTTGATATGAAAGGTAGCTTTGTTTGTCCAAGGGCCAACGGCACCACAGTCCTGAGAAATTCTTCAAGTTCCATTGCCTTTTGCAACCTTGCTTGACCCTGCGGCCTCTTTCTGTCCAGTGTGGCCATTTCACTGCATATGAGCACTGTTGCTATGACAACCACTTCATTAAATAACATTACAGAGAATTTATGCCATTTTCTATTGGAGTAGTTCTATTATTGACAAAACTGAAATGATCTCAATGCAACACGTTTACATTTTTGGAAAATGATTTAGGCTATTGTAGGTTGTTGTGGTTGGTTGTTTACTGGCCCGAGTCACAAGAGTCAACTCTCAGGTCTTCATATTCTAGATCCCTGAATATGGTTTGGGTCAGTCCAGCTAGGCAAAAATCATAAGTATAATCGTTTACATAAAAACTATCCTAAAATGATTGGGAAAAAGTTCATAAAAACGATAACATTCTGAAAATATCTGTAATAACTGTAAATATCCTTCAGAAATCATTCTAATATGATTTGGTTCTCAGTAAACATTTCTTCTTATTATCAATGTTGAAAACAGCTGTGCTGCTTAATATTTAAAAAACCTGAAAAACATTTTTCTTAACTCTTTGATAAACAGAAAGTAAAAAAAAAAAAAAAACGTTTATTTGAAATAGAAATATTCACTGTCACATTTTACTATATACTAGCTGAATAAGCATTAATTTTAAAGTATTTTAAATTAAATACTTTAAAAAAGAATTAAAGTATTAAAAAATCTTAGTGACCTCAAACTTTTGAACAGTAGTGTATATTCATCTAAATTTAAGCACAAGTCACATAAATGTGGTAAACAGATTGAAATAACCTAATTAAGAAAATATTCCAAAATACTTCTAACAATCAAAATAACATAGATCACATATGCCTGTATTACATAATTCTTTATCATGCAAATATCTTATTCAGAATATCCATTTAACACAACAGAATATTCATTTGTACTTTTTGGTGCTAAAAACGTTGATTTTGAAGAAACAATGTTTGAAATGAGAATGAATATTTTTGCAAACATTTCACAAACTAACATTAATAGATGTCTTGTGTGTAAATTACAGTGTATACAGGAATATTCCAATAACCATGAAGCATATAAACCTCTTTATCGGAATAAAGGTTTTTCAGAATATGGACATTAATCCATAAGACATTAATGTGGTCAGCTAACACAACATTAGCACACAAGTGCAAGCTTGTTTTGATTATATAAAATGTGTTTGGAGCAGGCTGGGACAAATAAGTAATTTAGTTCTACTTAATTCTGTTTGCATCTCCTCCACTCCAGTTTGTTATAGCCTTTCTTTGTTTTTACCTCCCACACAGAAAATTATTAAGCAATTTGATGTAATACTCCCCCACAAGACATGCCCAGAGCTTCCTGTCATTCATTCAAAAATAAAATCTCTGAATGTTCATGAAGACAAACAATCATTTTAAAGAGGCAAACAACACCACCCACATCTTCCTGCCTTCGGGTTTACCTCATACACCTGCTCAGAGTCCAACCAAAAAACAGATTAGACCAGATATAAATGTCACAAACAAATAACGCAGAAATCATTTTAGCAACATCCTTCATCTGTGGTCCACTTTTGGAATGAGACTGTGTATGAAGACTTCCAAAAATACGGTTTGATATACAACTGAAGTAAGCCAACCTCAGACAGCAAACAGTCTAGTGCGTTCATTTTCTTCATGACAACTTGAGAATCAGAGTTTACTTTTTCCTAGAATTCCCCATCCATCCACACACACGACTGGAGCCAAGCCTGTCGAGAACATGATAAATCTACCGCCCAGAGAAATTTATTTAGAATAAATAAATTTATTTAGAAAACGTGACTGACTCTAGATAGATACAATGACAGAATGATAGATAGACAGACAATAAAATGATAGAACAATGGAAAGACATAACGATAGATGATAGAACGACAGAACAAAAGAATGATAGATAGATAGATAGATAGATAGATAGATAGATAGATAGATAGATAGATAGATAGATAGATAGATAGATAGATAGATAGATAGATAGAAAGCAACCCCTGCAAAGAAATATCTCTTCTGTTTATCTCTTCTCTAGCTGTGTGCATTTGGGAACAGTTTGCTTTTCTTGACTCATTAAAAAGCCGCCTACCACTGCTTCTCAGTCCTCTAACAACAGTGATTACTGTGTATATTTTTAGTGCTCAGAGGGAGAACTGACCCTAAGATTATGGTGCAGATTACAGCGATGCAATATAACCAACATTTTTACTGTCCTTCTTTCTCGCTGTCTGTATCTGTAATGGATCTCTTTGTTAGGCTTTGGATCAATCCTGTTGCTCACTGGCACAAAAGCAGTGCTATATCTAATTTACAGGTGCATCTCAATAAATTCAACTCAAATTGTGAAACTCGTGTATTAAATAAATTCATTGCACACAGACTGAAGTAGTTTAAGTCTTTGGTTCTTTTAATTGTGATGATTTTGGCTCACATTTAACAAAAACCCACCAATTCTCAACAAATTAGAATACTTCATAAGACCAATAAAAAAAACATTTTTAGTGAATTGTTGGCCTTCTGGAAAGTATGTTCATTTACTGTACATGTACTCAATACTTGGTAGGGGCTCCTTTTGCTTTAATTACTGCCTCAATTCGGCGTGGCATGGAGGTGATCAGTTTGAGGCACTGCTGAGGTGGTATGGAAGCCCAGGTTTCTTTGACAGTGGCCTTCAGCTTATCTGCATTTTTTGGTCTCTTGTTTCTCATTTTCCTCTTGACAATACCCCATAGATTGTCTATGGGGTTCAGGTCTGGTGAGTTTGCTGGCCAGTCAAGCACACCAACACCATGGTCATTTAACCAACTTTTGGTGCTTTTGGCAGTGTGGGCAGGTGCCAAATCCTGCTGGAAAATGAAATCAGCATCTTCAAAAAGCTGGTCAGCAGAAGGAAGCATGAAGTGCTCCAAAATTTCCTGGTAAACGGGTGCAGTGACGTTGGTTTTCAAAAAACACAATGGACCAACACCAGCAGATGACATTGCACCCCAAATCATCACAGACTGTGGAAACTTAACACTGGACTTCAAGCAACCTGGGCTATGAGCTTCTCCACCCTTCCTCCAGACTCTAGGACCTTGGTTTCCAAATGAAATACAAAACTTGCTCTCATCTGAAAAGAGGACTTTGGACCACTGGGCAACAGTCCAGTTCTTCTTCTCCTTAGCCCAGGTAAGACACCTCTGACGTTGTCTGTGGTTCAGGAGTGGCTTAACAAGAGGAATATGACAACTGTAGCCAAATTCCTTGACACGTCTGTGTGTAGTGGCTCTTGATGCCTTGACCCCAGCCTCAGTCCATTCCTTGTGAAGTTCATTCAAATTCTTCAATCGATTTTGCTTGACAATCCTCATAAGGTTGCGGTTCTCTCGGTTGTGCATCTTTTTCTTCCGTACTTTTTCCTTCCACTCAACTTTGTTAACATGCTTGGATACAGCACTCTGTGAACAGCCAGCTTCTTTGGCAATGAATGTTTGTGGCTTACCCTCCTTGTGAAGGGTGTCAATGATCGTCTTCTGGACAACTGTCAGATCAGCAGTCTTCCCCATGATTGTGTAGCCTAGTGAACCAAACTGAGAGATGGATATGATACACAGCTTGAGGCAAGAAAATGCCCCTGATATTTAAAATGTGCAGTGAGTTTTTTTTTGTTTGGTTTTTTTAAATCCAATTTTTTCAAACATATTAGAAAAATATATATGGTAGAACATGTTTTAAATCAGTTCCGGGGAGTGATTGATTGCATGTATGTACAGTGTTGGGGGGTAATGCATTACAAGTAACTTAATCAGAGTTACGTAATCAGATTACTTTTTTCAACTAGTAAAGTAATGCATTACTTTTCAATTTACAGTAAAAGTTACTTTTTCAAATAAGTAACACCAGCTACTTTGGTTTCCCATTTATTGACTAACAAACAGCTCTCAGTTCCCATGTTGAGAAAAATCTGCAGTAAGTGCAATGTGTAAATACAATGGTTACTGTAGCTCCATACTAAATATGAACATGCATTTACTCATCTCACTTGCACAAATACAGATTTAGTATTCCTCAAAATGAATAAAAACTTAAATGCAAACTTAGAATATGACGCAAACCTGCAATAATTAAATATGCAATAAAGTTAAATATGGCTTTTGCATATGCCAAAAATATAGCTTTTTTTATATTAAAAACATACAAGCAAGCCCAGATGAGAAAAAGTAACGCAAAAGTAATGTAACGCAAAGCAACGAAGTATGCAATTAGTTACTTTTTAAGGAGTAACTCATTATTGTAATGCATTACTTTTAAAAGTAACTTTCCCCAACACTATATGTATGTATGAATGAATTTCCCTAACACTGTGTATGTGTATGTTTGAATGAATGACATTTTAGGCACTGGTAGTAACAAAAAAAATCACTTTTAAGTTTGTCATTTTGGTGGAAATTGTTTTAGCCTAGAGCAATCAATGTAAAGTCCCAAACAATGAAAAACTTAATGGGCCATGACTTACTTTGCCATTCATATTAGGTTGTTTTAATCAAATTGCCACTTTTTGATAGACTTATAAACGAACAAACGTGTTCATCTAATACTGTCAATCACAAAAGGGTGGTATATAAACCGATTTTACCTCACTATCTGTGCCAAGCCACAAGCCAAAGCTGATTCACAAAGATTATATGATGTGAATTCGAAAAAAATTACTGATGACCAACAGACCAAAACGTTTTGCATTTCATATGGAGGACTAACATGACCTTTCAGCATTCATTACAAAGTATTTTGGTCCAGTAACATTCTGAGCGGCCTTTGTTTTGATCTTCATTCGCCCTCTGGTGGAGAAACACATATGAGCAACTCTCGTCATAGCCCTTCAAGAGCTCGTCGTAGAGCTTCAACCAATCAGCGCGCAGATCAGCTGAACCTGCGAACCAATCAGCGCTCACATCAACAGGAACTGCAACAATGGAGGCGAGCATGAAGCCCGTGGGTGTATGACAGCATGTCAACAGCAAATCCCCCAAAATCATAATGCATGCTTTCTGAACGGACAATTAACTGTTCCACGTGTGAAATCGACAAAATGGCTTCGTGGTCGGAGAAAATGCTACAACTCCTGCGTCGAATGAATAACTTTCATTTACCAGGTGGGGAAATATTAAAAGAATCATATGACAGAGCAATCCATATGCATGTGATCCAGCAGGAATGCATATGTCAAGGGTCAATGAAAAGCTTACTTGATCTGTAAAAATACATTAAAATTCAACTCATGCTGACAAAGGCTTATTTTTATTATGAACATGTTTTCAGTGTATGAATTAAAAGATTTGTAACAAGACTTATTGCTATCCATGACTCACGTTTAATTTCTTAAAAAGTCAAGAAAACCTCAAAAATAATATTTGTAAATATTGTAAATAATAATTAATGTACATTTGTGACCTTCAATTTTTTTTAAAACCTTTTTGAACTTCTGTATACACGCCTGCATTCAAGGAAAACAAAGAAAACATGTTATTTTTGTTGTTTATCATTGACTAATATGTAATACTATAATATACATGTATAATTCATATACAAATGCATTCATTTACTCAACATCAATGCATTCGTTTACACCAGGTTCTAGTTTGGAGAGCTGTCTACGTTTTGAGGTGGCTGGAGAACAGGTTGGATGGCTTTACCCAAAAGTAGCATCAATTCTTGGTCGTTTTCCTGCTGTCTTCAGACCATACGGGAGCACTATAACCTTCAGCTCCGGTCTTGACACTTTTGAGAGCAGATCAGTGGCTGTGGATGAGGTCTTGCAGGAGCTGAGGAGAGAGGCAACATTCACCTGTCTCATAGGCTGGAGAGATGAGGTGAGACATCTATGGTACATGCTGGATAATTGCCCATCTTCATCCTTACTTCTTGAGTAGTTGTGTGTCAGTTCCTTCCAATGTCAAAAATGATGAGCAATGTTTTATTTTTTATATTAATGGGGATTATTTGCTCCATGCACATGATTTTCAAGCCACCCTCACCCAATCCTATAAAACAACACATCATGCCATCAATTTGTATTAAATAAAAAACCCCAGAATAATTCACTACAGGATCATTTTTTTATAAAGAATGATCCTAAATGTGGATGCATGACAATTTTTTGGACAATGTTCCTACAAACAATTTATGAAATGTCCATATGCACAAAATGTTTTCCTAAATGCATACCACTGTATACATTGCAGTGCTACTTTAGTGTAATTGAGATACTATTATAGTTGTATTCATATTTTGAATATTTTTGTATTTTTATTTTTCCATTTCCATTTTAATTTTAGTTCAAGTTTTTTGTCTTTTTTTTTTTTTAGTAGTTTTTGTTTAATTTATAAATGTCTACATAGTTTTTATACATTTTTATTTCAGTTTAAGTTAAGTACATCAAGTAAACAAATCAAACTAAAGGAAAATGAGAAATATTGCCCTAGAAACTATCTGAAATTATTTTTGTATTTTATAATAATATTAATGCATATTGTGATTGTCTGTTTATCTTTGCATGATAATAAACATGAAATGGGATTGGATTATTTGCTTAATGAAAATTGGATTACTAGTAAATATGAGCACAAAAATGTGTACGTTCTGTACTTAAGTTGGAGTATACATACAGACATTTTCATAGCCGTTCCTGCAAATCCTGATTTGTTCTTCACTTTTGATATACAGTGGGTACGGAAAGTATTCAGACCCCCTTAAATTTTTCACTCTTTGTTATATTGCAGCCATTTGCTAAAATAATTTAAGTTAATTTTTTTTCCTCATTAATGTACACACAGCACCCCATATTGACAGAAAAACACAGAATTGTTGACATTTTTGCAGATTTATTAAAAAAGAAAAACTGAAATATCACATGGTCCTAAGTATTCAGACCCTTTGCTGTGACACTCATATATTTAACTCAGGGGCTGTCCATTTCTTCTGATCAGCTTAATAAACTAATTAATCAGCTCGTTACAAGAAGTGCCACACAAAACAGGTTGAGTAAACAGTAGGTTGAATCATACGGTTACTTTTAACACTTAAATCTATGACTCCTTCACACTACACGCTCATTTAACTTAAGTAGTCATATCTCATTTCGTATCACTTGCCGTCAACACTCTTTGCACTTCAATATAGTACTACCTCAAGGATTCATCCAATTTTGTTAATGCTACATTTGTATTGCTGCCGTTTAATGACTTAACTTATTTTTTTTACATACTTAATACATTCATGTACACTAATAAACTAATTAATCAGCTCGTTACAAGAAGTGCCACACCAAACAGGTTGAGTAAACAGTAGGTTGAATCATACGGTTACTTTTAACACTTAAATCTATGATTATATATCTCATTTCGTATCACTTGCCGTCAACACTCTTTGCACTTCAATATAGTACTACCTCAAGGATTCATCCAATTATGTTAATGCTACATTTGTATTGCTGCCGTTTAATGACTTAACTTATTTTTTTTACATACTTAATACATTCATGTACATACATTTTAAACACTTATGTATTGTATTCTGCCTTTGTGTGGGGTTTTGTAAGTCTGTTGTTTACACAAGTTATGTTTGCACTGTTTAAAATTTTTGCACATTGCATTGTTGTCTTTACCTGCGGGAATTTCCCAAGTAAGACTTTAATTGTAATATGATGTACCCTGTATATATGACAATAAAAAAGTGTTGACTTTTGAGGAAGTTGGACCATTTAAACATACACTTCTGTTCAAAAGTTTGGGGACAGTAAGATTTGTTTTAATTCATACTTTTGTTCAGCAAGTATTAAACTATTTAACGTGACAGTAAAGACATTTATAATGTTACAAAAGATTTATATTTCAAATAAATGCTGTTCTTTGAACTTTTTATTCATCAGAGAATCCAGTTGAGCAACACAACTGTTTTCAACATTGATGATAAAAAATAATAAAAAAATCTTGTGCACCAAATTAGCATATTTGAATGATTTCAGATCATGTGACACGGAAGACTGAAGTAATGCCTGCAGAAATTCAGGCTTACCAACACGGTAATAAATTGCATTTTAAAATATATTAAAATAGAAAACTGTAAATAGCTAAACTGTAAAAATATTTCACTATTTTTACTGTATCGCAATCAAATAAATGCAGTCTTGATGAGCATTAGACTTTTTTTTTTAAATATTTGACCCATCCCAAACATTTGAACAGTAGTGTATAAAATAATTAATATATATAAACAGAGTAATAAATTGTGTATATCTGCTATAAATTAGTACAGTGTGCTTTTAAAGATGACCTCAGAGCTAACAAACACTGACTAAAAACCACAAACCTCCCATTTTGATGTAATGGGGTCTTTAAAGGATTTGATTTATCACTCAGGCGGCTGGAGGACTGGCAGCAAGCTGTAGTGTAAGGCATACCATGGTAAAAGAGTGTGAAGAGGAGGCCTGCATCCCTCAGGGCCTGGCAGAGCAAGCACGTCCTGTGGGAACTGTGAGGTGCTTAATCTTTTTTTTTATTATTTCTATACCACTATTTAGGTTAGGTCATTAAAGGTAGTTTATTACTAAGCACAAAAGCAATTGCTAACTGCTGCATTTTAAGATTAAAGATGTTAAATGTTTTCTCTATTCAAAACCTTTTCAGATTCCAGGGTAGATATAAACTCTCCTGCAAGAGACTGATTAATACAGCAGTAATGCCAGAAATAGCTTCCAACTGGCAGGTTTCCAGAGAAATATTCTGTGTGCACAAATTAAGACGACCAGAATTCAAGTTTTATACAGTCTCAGAACACTTCAATGTGATCAAAGACATGAATGCCTGTCACGGGCATCATTTCTGCCTGGAAACTGTTCACTATGTTTAGCTAAATTGAAAGAGGTTCTGCGATCTTCAATCTCCAATTCATGCCTCCCTCTGTCTTCTCTGTAGCTACACCTACGAAGATGACGAAGGAATATTTCCTGAGTGTCAGTTTGTCTTTGATTTAGAACTGCCTCTCAATTTTCAGCCTCACATTGGAGACGGAGAAGTGCAAGCGTTTTACTACTATCCAATAGAGAAGGTGAAGGCATCCCATTGATTTTAGGTTTGAATGCTATGTGATGTTTTATATAAGAATAGCTGTGATATACACGTTTGCTTGTACTTTGTCATGCAGAAAAAAAGTGTTTTAGCATTAAAAATGGTTACTTTTCTCTCAGGCAGCTTTCTAAAGTATGTGTGGGTTCCTAGACTAAGGGGTGACACATCTTACCCCCATTGATTCTCCTCTGTGTCATTTGTTGATTTCAGGTGAAAGATCTCTTGGTCAGTGAGGAGTTTAAGCCAAACTGTGCCATGGTGGTTCTGGACTTCCTCATCAGACATGCCATCATTGAGCCAGACTCAGGTTTGTTACACACTGGAGGTCAGAATTTGAGATTAGAACTCAACAGCATGTACTTTTAAATGAAAAGTTTAACACGAGATAGGCTGTGACTTACGTTTTTCTCTCATTTCAGAGCCCTATTATCACGAATTTGTGGCTGGATTGCACAGATCACTGTAAAAACTGACTGACGGTGTTAAGACTTGTGTCAACCTGCAACAGTTTGGTATTTTAGTTATCTACCTCCGCTTTTAAAGGGCAAGTTCACCCAAAAATGAAAATTAGGCTGTGTTTTACTCACCCCTGAGGCATCCTAGGTGTATATGACTTTCTTCTTTCAGACGAATCCAGTAGGAGTTATATAAAAAATTGTCCTGGCTATTCCAAGCTCTATCATTGCAGTCAGCGGGTGTTGCAGTGCTTCAGTCCAAAAGAAGTGAAATAAAAAGCGCCCATCCATTAAAAAAAAAAAGTGTCTCGCATGGATCTGGGGGGTCAAAACGTAATATAAGCCAAGAGGAGACTGGTTTTCCTTGGCTAAAGTAAGGAAACTTTGCTTCCTTTGATCCTGTAAACAAACGTTGGTTTTCACGAGACTCACCGGCACATGCGCAACGCTGACCTCATACGTCATCCTCCCGGAACTGCTTCTGTGTACAACTGTTGGCGCAAGCTAGATTAAATTGATTATTACGTTTTGAATATGGATATAGGATGCCTCTGGGGTGAGTAAAACACAGCCCAATTTTCATTTTTGGGTGAACTAACCCTTTAACTCCTAACATCGTCAGCATGTGTACTTGTTTACTGAAGACCACGTCTAGCTGGTGAAGACATTTTACGCAGTCATAACTCAGAGAAGAGACACAGAATAAAGACCCAAGCAAAGTTACCCTATAAGAATTTATTAGAGTCTGTGGAAATCCAAAGATGCACTGGTATACAAAAGATAATTGATGCATCAAAGGCTCTTTTTTTCTTACAATGAAATGCAGAATCTCTTCTAAGAAATTACTTGCATTTAATAATATGGCATTAAACAGCTCTCTCAAAATCACATTTTCGCTACTTTTTTTCCTTCTTTATTTATTTTAAAACTTTTAAATTCTAAGATACTAGAATTTGTAAAATACGCAAAAATTATATAGTATAAGCCAGTAGAATTTCACAAAAAAAAAAAGAAAACCATACAGTACAGGAGAAAAAGAGGGGAATCATAAAAAGAAAACAAATGGAGTGAAAATGGAGGGAGTTTCTCATTTATACAGTGAGATAAAGAAATTTCACTTGTATTTCCGCACACCAAATAAAAGCCTGTCATGCAGGCAAAGAGGAATACGGGCAAAAATAATGTTACTGTCACCTTTTATAAAACATATATATATATAGCCAAAAATCAAACAGTGTCTGACAGTCAACATACAGAGCTGTGGTTTTGCTTTGAGCTCCACGAGGGCTGATTAACCCAAAGTTTTTTCTTTTTTTACTTACAATACATGAGCAAGCACATAAAATACTCACAAAAAAGTTGAATTAGTATGATCATTGCTTAATGCATCTTACTTTGAATTTTATAGGCAAATGGCAAAAAAAGTACAAGATGTATTTAAATCTTATTGGAATAAAGAATTGTAAGACTACCACTACTTTCAGCTATTTTAAACCAGTGACTAAACCGCTAATTTTGCGACAGGACAGGAGGGCACAGAGGAACCAGTTGTGTTAACCAACAGTATTAGTGTGTTAACGTAAGAAAAAAGATCATTAAACAGAAAATCATAGTACGAAGGACAGGCGTGAATGTTATACATAAGACGGCACTGGGTTTCTGGGAGGTTTATAAAGGGGATCACGGGAGTCGATGTCTTGATCCCAAAAACAACTCCCTGCTTGACATGTAGCATATATGATGTAGGGTACTAACTAATGCCTTTTACACCCTGAATAATGCACTTAGTGCCAAAAAAGGAATCTTTTTAGACCAAGTCGTTTGTTTCTGTTCTTGCTAACAGTGCTGACCTTCTAAGCAGAAGATGTGGTACGGGCCAAAGAATACATCGCATATAATCCCACCCCAAAAGCAATCAGTGATTGTGAGCCACTGTGAAACCATGTCAATCTTTACCCTACATATACACTATCCTTACACTTGTGATCAGTCTGAAGGCTTAAGGTCAACTAATCTTGATTTGAAAGAGGACTGATGGCCATAAAAATGTTGAAGTCCCTTTTTGCCGGTGCAGTTGTCCCTACAATCTTCTGTAGTTTCCTTTGGCCTGGATTGAAAATGACCCTCCCTGACCCCCGAGTACATAATTAACACTAGGGGCGTTTCTTCCCTCTATTTGCGAACTTTTATAGCTCTTTCATTTTCCTTGGCCTAGTTTGGTTACCCCTTTCCCTCCCTCATTCTTTTCCTCTCTCGTTTTCCTCTCTATAGCAAAGCACAGGGATTCTTCTTGCCACGTTTTTTGGCTTGGAGCGCCGCTCTTGTGGCCATTTCAAACACTTCCCTCACGCCATCCTTAGTTTTAGCCGAACACTCAAGGTAGCCGAAGGCATTGATGCGATTAGCCATGTCTCGCCCTTCCTCTGGTTTAACTGGTTCCTGTTCAAGGGAGAAAGCATCGACGGGGCATTCGTACATTATAACATAACGCTACAACACAGAAGTAACAGCAATTTGTCTAACTTTTTATGTTATTTCCATAAAAAATATAGTAACTCTTTTATAAAAAAAAGAAAGTGTTAGCCCACACACCTGTTTCATCTTCTGCAGCTCCCGTCGAGTGTGATCATCATTCCGTAAATCTTTTTTATTACCCACCAGAATTATTGGCACATTTGGACAGAAATGTTTTACCTCCGGCGTCCATTTTTCTGGGATATTCTCTGTGTGAATAGAGTATGGCTTTCAATAGAGTGACCACAGGAATGTAAACACTATAAAATATTTAAAGACTGAAATTAGGCCAAAATATAATTAATATTAAAGACTGGCCACTCCAGAAAAGATGATCTCACCCAAACTGTCAGGGCTGTCTACGGAAAAGCACATGAGGATGACATCAGTGTCTGGGTAGGACAGGGGCCTCAGCCTGTCGTAGTCCTCTTGTCCAGCTGTATCCCATAGAGCCAGTTCCACCTGCCAACAAATGGTTAAAAATTATATTATCAGCATAACAATTTGCATAAACGGTGACTGAACAAATGAACATGAATTTCTAAGCATTTAGCAGCACTCGAGCTGTCTGAGCTCCACAAGTTTGTGTAAAGTCTTATGATCATATTTGAGAATGATCCAACATCCACATGTTCAGTGTCCCCGTCGAGTGTGATCATCATTCCGTAAATCTTTTTTATTACCCACCAGAATTATTGGCACATTTGGACAGAAATGTTTTACCTCCGGCGTCCATTTTTCTGGGATATTCTCTGTGTGAATAGAATATGGCTTTCAATAGAGTGACCACAGGAATGTGGTCTTACACTATAAAATATTTAAAGACTGAAATTAGGCCAAAATATAATTAATATTAAAGACTGGCCACTCCAGAAAAGATGATCTCACCCAAACTGTCAGGGCTGTCTACGGAAAAGCACATGAGGATGACATCAGTGTCTGGGTAGGACAGGGGCCTCAGCCTGTCGTAGTCCTCTTGTCCAGCTGTATCCCATAGAGCCAGTTCCACCTGCCAACAAATGGTTAAAAATTATATTATCAGCATAACAATTTGCATAAACGGTGACTGAACAAATGAACATGAATTTCTAAGCATTTAGCAGCACTCGAGCTGTCTGAGCTCCACAAGTTTGTGTAAAGTCTTATGATCATATTTGAGAATGATCCAACATCCACATGTTCAGTGTCACAAATCTGAATAATGGCAAATTCATACAAATATTATTCTCGCAATTTTTATATATAGTTAACTACCATTCAAAAGTTTGGGGTTTGTAAGATTGTTTTAAAGAAATTAATATTTTATTCAGCAAGGATGCATTAAACTGGTCAAAAGCAACAGTAAAGACATTTATAATGTTATAATAGATTGCTGTTTCATGTAAATGCTGTTCTATTAATCAAAGAATCCTAAAAAAAATGTATCACAGTTTCCACAAACATATTGAGCAGCACAACTGTTCAATATTGATAATAATAAGAAATGTTTGAGCAGCAAATCAGCATATTAGAATGATTTCTGAAGGATCATCATCGTGACACTGACGACTGGAGTAATAACGCTGAAAATTCAGCTTTGCCATCACATGAATAAATTACAAATGTATATTAAAATAGAAATTTGTTTTTAAATTGTAATACTATTTTGCAATATTACTTCATTTTTCAATCAAATAAATGCAGCCTTGGTAAACATAAAATACTTCTTTCAAAAACATTTAAAAATCTTACAGACCCCAAGATTTTGAATGGTAGTGTATGTTGAATATTGTCTATTTTAACTATATTTCAATAATGTGTTCATATGAATAAATGTATTTATATAAATATACATATTATTATGATTGTAGTTAATCATTTCACAAATGCACACAATGCTTTCCAACACAAGCAAAAGACAATCAATCACTCACTGTTGACCCAAAATAAACCCCATTCATTACAAATTAACTCTACATAAAAATGCAAAAATAAGAATACAGGAAGAACACTATTAAAGGGTTACTCCACCCCAAAATGAAAATGTTGTCTTTAATCACTTCCCCCATGTTGTTCCAAACCCCTAAAAGCTTTGTTTGTCTTCGGAAGGTCTTCAAGGTCCAGAAAAGTATGAAAGACATCGTCAGAATAGTCCATTGTTGTTCCAAACCCCTAAAAGCTTTGTTCGTCTTCGGAAGGTCTTCAAGGCCCAGAAAAGTATGAAAGACATCGTCAGAATAGTCCATCTGCCATCAGTGGTTCAACCGTAACGTTATGAAGCGGCGAGAATACTTTTTATCCGCTGAACACAAGCAGCGTACGCTCTTCTGTGTCAGCCGCGCTGCACGGATGTGCTGTTTTCGTTCAAATCAAAGCGTAAATACATGCAGAAAACGTATCCTTGTGTCGCGGCTGACACAGAAGAGCGTACGCTGCTTGCGTTCAGCGGATATTCTCCAAAATGGCGCTACGGTGATGCGGAGAGACACAGAGGAGACGAATTGTTGAATAAAGTTGTTATTTTTGTTTTCTTTGCATACAAAAAGTATTCTCGTCACTTCATAACGTTACGGTTGAACCACTGATGGCAGATGGACTATTCTGACGATGTCTTTCATACTTTTCTGGACCTTGACAGTGTAATTTACTTGGCAGTCAATGGGACAGTCACAAGCCTCCCGGTTTTCATCCAAAATATCTTAAATTGTGTTTCGAAGACGAACAAAGCTTTTATGGGTTTGGAATGACATGGGGGTAAGTGATTAATGACAAAATTTTCATTTTGGGGTGGTGTATCCCTTTAAGAGGTTTATGAACAATCTGAGGAAGTTGCTTGTTTCAAAACTTCAAATAGCTACAGAAGAGACACATGAATGCTATAATAGACCAGCTGTGATTTGATGACATTCTTACCTGTTTGCTGTCCACCTCAATATCAGCAACATAGTTCTCGAACACTGTGGGTACGTAGACCTCAGGAAACTGGTCTTTACTGAAAACGATGAGTAAACACGTCTTTCCACATGCTCCATCCCCAACGATTACAAGCTTCTTACGAATTGCAGCCATCTGTCACACAAAATGAAAAGATCAGCCAATAATTGCAAGAGGCAGGTGGAAATTGCTTTTTTGATAAATAGAGAATTGTTTGTGTATGTCTGCCCTCCTCTACTGTTTCATGAGGAAGAGCAATTCTGAGGTGGAAGTACTCCAGACATTCTTGAAAAAATATATAAACCAGGCATACAGCAGTATTATTTAACTATATCTATATTGTCATGATTCTGTTGTATCAGTGTTTGTACAGAATTCTAAAGTAACTGAAAAACATAACAGGAACCAATTATACGATACTCTGTAAAACTGTCTTGATCAAATATGATTCAGAAATATTAAGAATTCTCAAAAACAGTATTAAATCAAATATAATAATCTCTTATCTAAATACGTATGTTGTCATAAACCAACAAAATTAAGAGCTTTATTTGCAAACGTGAGTCTGGAGTGGACTTACAAAGACCGTGTGCAGGTGGCTTATTAAGAAAAATAGGAGCCAATGGTGTGAAACCAACTTGACAAAAAAAGTTATATCTATGAATTTGAATTACACAGATCATGAGAATCTTTTTCAACTGAAGAAGCTTATTAAATATGTTATAAATGTTTATTTTTGTTGGTCTACTGGCAACTCCACATTTTTATATAATCCATGTATTCAAATATTCAGATTGCATTTATTTATCAACCATTTTTTAATCATTGTGGATACTAAGACATTTTTTTTCTTTTGAGTGCTTTGAGTTAGAAACAAGCATTAAACAATTTTGATGGATCTACATTTTTAATGAAAGGACTACTGATTGAAATGGACAAATATGGATTACAGTTTCAGTATTTTTCATTCAGCATCCACCTCCACAATGAAAACAATGCGAGTAATGTTCATAAATGAAAAGCTTGTGTTGTGAGCACATTTAATTCAGCTAATGCCTTTTCATAGCAGTCTCAGTGGGCTCATTAGGAATAACAGGGGTCTATGGTGCTGTTCTTTGTGAACCAACTTGATTTAGTTAGAAACAAGTCATTTATCTCAGGCCTTTTCTGTCTTATATTTCAAAATAAAACAACAAGTGAGCTCATTAGGGTTCCTTCCCCCATGTCTACATTCATATTTCAGCCATTTTAATGATCTGTACACATTGTTCTTGTGTCATTATAGCACTGCAGTATCAACCCCTCCTCTCTCTCACACACACACACACACACACACACACCTCCCAGCCACAGTCACAACACACCGCACCCTGTTCAATTCACTTATCAACGCTTATAAACACACATTAAAGCATTACACATACATTTGGACTCACTGTGAAACAGCTGACTGCAGTCGGGTCAAAATAATGTCGCTCAAGTGACCTTTTATAGTTTAACAATGAGTCAACCATTGATTCAACGAGAGTGAAGGCTTAATGAGGGATACAATAGCCGTTTAAAGGGCTGAGTGCTATATTGCAGAACAAAATGAGAGCTGGTGATTATAACAGCCGCATGTCCCCGGTTTGGTTTACTCCCTATGCTAACTGGGACGCCTCATCTCGCGGCCTATTGAGTGTAACGTGAGCACCGTTTGGATTAGATTCGACTAGATCCACAAATCAATTCTAGTATTAAACTTTCCAGATGTGTTACAGTCGTGATCATCGGAGTTTAATGCAATTATGAACTCATGTTCGGCATCTTGTTGTTCGTCCGTTTCCGTCATCATCACACTTAGCCGTTTAGCACCGAGCTAGCCGCATATGAAAGGCATCTTTTTATCTCACTGGAGCGGTTTTTAAAAATGCTAATCTGTTGTATTGGCTCTAGACCGTATGGGGAATAAATAAACATATCGATTGTAAATATCAGAGCTGTTTTTGTGTGAGTATTTATTTACCGTTTTTCTTTCAGATGTCCTCGCTTTCTTTATCTTTTCCTGTACGACCCCAAGGCCCCGCCCCGCAGACGGTGCCACGCCGCTAAGACACGCCCATTCTCGTCGTTTCCACCAATCAGAGGCAGAGACGCTGGAGTGACGTCCAAAAGCCAGCAGCCCCTCACTGCAGAACATAAGATCCAGGGGGCGTGGTTGGATCCACATCTAGGGGGTGGAGATTGGTAGGTTTAGGGGTGGAGTTGGGTGGGTTTAGGTATATGTAAGGTGGGAGGAGTTGGATCTGGATCTTGTGCCCCCTGGATCTTGTGTTCTGTAGTGAGGCCCATCTCCCAAAAGCAGAACAGCAACATATATTTTTGAATGACTTTTTAGTTGAAATAGACTTTCTTCTCATATCTCTTAATTTAGTCAAGTCAAGTCAAGTCTGCTTTATTGTCAATTCTTCCACATGTACAGCACATACACACAGAGAATTGAAATTGCGTTACTCTCAGACCCTTGGTGCATACAGATAACATAAATACAGATAGGTACAGATTAAATACAAAATACAACTATACAAATAAGGTAAAATGTAAAAATATATCTATATATATAAAGCACAAGGCATATGGCAGATAGAGTGCAAACCAGTAAAAGTAAAACAGTGCAGATATAGTGATTGTAGTGCAAAAAACAATGATTTGTAGTGTAAAAGAGCTTATTTTCGACTGATTAAAGTGATAGTGTGTGTGTATTTGGGAGGGGGGGAGTGGGAGAGTCCATCAGAGGGTCAGAGTTCAGAGGTGCGTGGGGCAAAAGAGGGGAGGGGGGGCAAGGTCGGGAGGGAGTTCAGCTTCCTGTGGTTAAATACCAATGGTTATTTAGGCTAATTATGCATTCTTTATAGCAACTTGTTCATCATATTCTTCATTCTTTCAAGCAGACATATTTATTTCTATAAATAAATTTAGAATCATTTTTAGGTCTGCTAAAGTTTTTCAGTGAAGAGCAGTGTGTGATTTTCTGTTTTTCTGTTGTTGCTTGATTAACACCAATGACTCGGACAATAGAAACTAAATTAGGCTGCTATCCCTTTAAAACCGGATGCAATGTACACGTTCTCCATGCTGTTTACATTTACTTCAGACGTAATTAACTATTTACGTGAATACTCATCAAAATGGACAGTTGGACATCGTGGCTGCATCCGAAATCTTAGGCAGCTGACTTGCCTCGCTGCCATATGAGTGTTGTCACTGCACCACCCGGCCAGGCGGCTCACCTCGCTCCTGTAGTTTGTCTCATCTCTGTTGCTAATGAGACCCACTACAGTCGTTTAAATTTAAATAACAATATAAAATAGGAGTCCTAAAAGAGTTATCTCCTGTTTGGAGATAATGTTGATGGGGTTCAATTTACTTCATTATACTAATATATGTATATATATATATATATATATATATATATATATATATATATATACACTGTGTGTGTATATATATATATATATATGCAACACACCTCTCTAAAAGGCACGGTGAGTGTGGCTGGTACTCTAGGAAGTTGT